GTGTGTGTGTGTGTGTGTGTGTGTGTGTGTGTGTGTGTGTGTGTGTGGGACACTAGAGCCATGTGGGGGTGGGGTGGATATCATGACCGGTATGGTTGCACTTTTTAACATCGTGTCATGGCTGTAGTGGTTAAGAGACCCTGACTCTTGTGGCTGATGGTGGCAGTTCAATTCCATGCTTGCACAGAGGGAACCGATGCGAAAAAGTAGTGATCGGTTGACGCTCTTCTCTCCTTAGTACGATTCCATTTTTGATCTCTTTGATGGCTACTCTCTACTCTCAAGACGCTTTGCGATTGATGTGAATAGTTGACACTCTTCTCAAGTTAGCGTTGCACACGATCCTTCACGACACAATTGCGCTTCCAATTACTTTGGACATAGACTGCGCTTCTAACGTGTTTGTATTTGTGTTGTGCAGGACCCTGTTGGAGCTTTCGATGTGGACATAATTGTGCAATGTGTGCGAACGGCCATGGACTCCGGCACAAGGAACCACGCCTTGGCATTGCTTGCCGCGGCCGCCAGGTTGCAGCCAGATCAGGTGCGATGCCTGCTTAGACAGCCAGAATGCTGCTGTGATTGTTGCTGTAGAGGTAACCATAATACTGTACTTATGGTCGTCGGACATCCCATCGATGGGCAGACAAACAACATGCATATCAAGCAATCAACCTACTGGGGAAGGTCATGACAGAGAAGAAACACACCTTATCATGTCACAATTGAGGTATCACAAACTGGCTTCGTAGTGGGCCGTACTTCTTTGTTCAGAATTTGTCTTTTAGTGAAATCTCATCGAGCAACGAGCAATCAGAAGATGCAAGAACACATTCGAAGGAATTTTGGATGCACAACGAATCTCGTGATTGACAAACTCTTCAGCATCTTCCGCGCCTTTGCTGACATTAGAGCAATCAAAGGTATATCATCATTCGGGGTCATCAGGATGCTTAACTTTTTGATAAAAATTATGCTTGTGATTGGCAGGTTCTGAAGCATGTGCTGTCCGTTTTCGCATTTATCGGGCACTCCAGTCTTACACAGGTAGGCATGTTTCCCTTCCCGAGCTTCTCTTTTTCTTTCTCCTCTTTCACGTGTCATTTCCATGCATGTCGTGTGTATACTCGTCATGTGAAACGGATGTTGTGTTGGAGAAGGGCTCCTGCCTGCTGTACCTTTTCCTTGTGTGCTATGAGACCACAATACTCCTCTGTTGTGCTATGGACATGATGCTGGGCATGCGAGAACGTGGTTTCTAACGTTGCATGTGCTGTCTGTTGCAGACAGGGCCCTTGCCCGTTGCACGGAATGCTTCTGATAGTCTGGAATGCTTCTGATAGTCTGTGTTTATCTATTGTCTGTGGTCCGATTTTACAACTCCTTTTGCAGTTAAGGCTGTGAGGTCATTATCATCTAGCCATGCCATGGGCTGGAGGAAGGGAGTGGAAGGGGGAGGGGAGGGGGATATGAGCAGGGGGCAGCGGTTGTGTCGTATGAGGTGGTGAGGGGAGGTATGCCAAAAGATTTTGTGCAATTTTGGAAAGAGGAGATGCTGAAGACGGTAAGATGCGACAACGTAGTGTCATGTGGGAGAGGTGATGTCGTAGTCTGGGGCGGAGGGGTGTTGTACGATGAACAGAGTGCGCAGGATATGTTGCAGGGGTGGATGGGTGGGGGTTGTATCATGTGAGTAGCAGGCATTGGAATATGCTGAGGAGGAGCTTGGTTCAACCCGACACACTGACGGCAGTTTCCTTGACCGAACTCTGACCACCTGGCGGCTGGATCCAACCCCTGCCAGTCTGTCTGCTTTTTCCCATCACCCCCTTGCATTTTGCAAGCTACTCATCTAGCTGCTGTTCCGGATTTCAATCTCTTTGCCTACCAGGACAGGTGTCAGTAGTCCTGTCTGACAACCGAAGCGTCAGCGACACATTGGCATATGATTTCATGTGTGTGCGTG